GTAGGATTAGTGGATTATAATGAAGAGAATGAGTCTTATTATTTTCTAGCCAAATTTAGGTACACGTTCATAATACCAAGCCACAAAACTCAAAGAGTAAAAGAAGAACATTCATTCTGAAAAAATACCTGGCATACAAATTGGTTGAAAACATGAGACAGAAGCTGTATGTAATCTTTCAATGTATAATTGGTTGGTAGCAGGTCGTTTCGACGTGGGTGCTTTGTTCACTCACTCAAACGACCGCCCTGTTAGTCGGTGCTTCAAACCTCAGGCTGAACGATCGATTTTCACTAGCTATCGTCCAACCCGTGTTAGAAATCACACGTTGAAAGGTAAAACCTCTTTAGTCCTCAGCTTGCACAAGTTTCGACTTCTAAGAGTTGTCGCTGGTAGGGGTGCGACAGCTGGTTAACGAAAAAACACATTTCGAACAAAGTATATCAATTTGAGGTAGCAACAAATTGAGTGGGTACATATTCTTAGAGTCAGTGAGGCTGAACTTGAGTTCTAAAGACCCCAAGTGCGACATCGAAACAGGCCTCTGAGTGTCTTAAAAAATTGAAATAACTGACTAACAAAAATAGATTCGATCAATTCTGGTGACCTGAAAATATATAGACAGGAAAATATAATCAAAAATCGGTTTCCATAGGAGCATACATTGGTTGATCATATTACAGGATTCATAAATAATTCAAGCAGGTACAGAACAAAGTACACATTGCTGGTCTTGTGAATGTAATCGATATAAATTGCTTACTAGCAATCTATCTCTCTGTGGAGTAAATTTGGAAAATACATGTTATTGAATTGAACCAATTATGATGAATTTTGAATTTTTTTTTCAGAAAACTGAATATCAGATGAACACAAATTCAACCTATATCTATACAGAAATATATATGAATTAACAAAAGGTAGACTTTGCATGAGTTATTGACTGTAAATTAAGGGACAGGTTTTCATGAAATATCAAGTTCAATACCATATAGTAATCATAATAATCACATTCTCAACATTCAATAATAATAAGTTCAGCTGACCAAATACGAATATTTTGAAATAAACTAATGAATATAAAAATTGGGGGTTGTACCTATCATTCGACGGGGGTTGACGGTAGGGGTAGCATTTTCTGTTGAAGTTTAAAAATCTGTTTGAAATCTATTTTTCCGTTAACCAGCAGTCGCACCCCTACGAACGACAACCCTCAGAAGTCGAAACTTGTGTGAGCTAAGGATTAACGAGGTATTACCTTTTATCGTGTGATTCCTAACACGGAACGGATTCTTAACACGGAAGTATGTCAAATAATAATTCGAATTCGACATATTTCGAGATTTTATTTAACCGTAACAGAAATAATGATTTTTTTTCATTTGGCTTCTACGCACTGTATAACGGCTAAAGGTGTACATATACAGATATTTATATATTTTACTGCAATTGTTACACTTTCAGGAATAAATGCATGAGTGCATTCGACTATTTTCAACTAATTGTTGAACATATTTCTGGTTCGTTACAGCCTACCTCTTGAGGTAAAAGTAAAATTTATGCCAGATATATTCCATAAAGTTCTCAGCAGAAAGAATTCTATTGAACAGGTGGGAACAATTGCTTTCGAAATTTGGATATGCCAAAATCATAGTTTTAAAAATTAATTATCAATGATTTCAAATCTTCATGGTTGTACGATCTGATATCCATGTCTGAATTCTGATCTCAATTTTCATCCTGGGTGAAGTATATGTGGGAAACTTAACAATATATCAAGCAAACAAAGTGGCCCCTTGAGCGGCGAAATCTCCAAAGTTATGACAAGTGAGTCATCCCTTTCCCAAGGGAACTTAATAACGCCATATTCCGGATTAACACATACTCGCTAAGTTTCTGTTGTATATAACCCTTTAGCGAATCAACCCAAAATATGTTTCATGAATAAAATGTACAGTAAGGACCTGATAGATATATGATCAGAGATATACAGAATATACAGAATCGATTCTTGCAATAATCTCTAATGATATTATGTTTCTAGGACGGTGAATGTTATTACTTCCATGATGCTTTGACAGGAGGATACGATGGCATAAATACGTAATTATTTGAAGTGAGTTGGATTTCAAATTTTATCCTGAAACGTAATTTCACGGCTTACAGATTCAATTGAGATATTTTTAGGTATCCTTATTGAAATATAGAATCATTGACCATGTGTGTGAAATATTCGGAAATAATTTGAAAGATTCGGGAACACCCAAGTTGGAACGAAACTTTGTGGTAGCCGTCATTCCAGATCCTTGAAAAAGGTATGCTATTGAAAATATGAGGGATGGAAGTTTCATCAGCTTCAGAATTATCGAAAAGTGCCATATGTTTCTCTGGCAGCTGACATTTGAATTCATTTTTTGCGTTATAGATCAAATTCTGCGATACATCCCAAGATATGATTTGTTTCGTATGCTGACAATTATGATATGATATAGTTATAGTTGAACCAATAGATACCAATGAAACCAANCGCAATAACATATAAATCAAACCTCGCAACACACGCCATTCAAAACAAACATAACTTTTCCCCACCAGAAAACATCAAAATCAAAAAACAAGTCAATGAAGGAAACCTATGGACATCTGGGAAAACCCAAACATCCATAATTCACTTATCGAGGAACAAATACAAATCGAAACACAACAAGGCCTAACATTCAATATAATACACAATACAATACACATTCCTAGAAACAATGAAACTAGAAACACTCCAACACAAAGGATATTACCTGGTATAACCCAAATACAGGCAAATTTAAAGACACATCCGGATGACAGAAGAGGACAAATACCTGTGTGTGTTTTTACGGCCAGACCAATAGACGTGTGACAAGTAGAATGTACGAACATCAACTTGCTGTCCGAAAGTCTGACCCATTCTCAGCGCTGTCCAAACATTATCAAGAGACAGGACAGAACATAGATGGTTCGCAAAGTCTATGCGAACCATCGCCCCAGCGAAAATACTACAAGCTCGGGTAATTCGCGAGGTCATCGAAATCGAAAAGCAACCTTTCTGCCTGGGCAAACGGAATGACGGTCAGAAGCTTCCAACTACCTGGAAACCCCTAATTTCCTGATATTCACTCGCCACCAATACGTCCGATGACGGTAATCACCAGTAGCCCCGTCTCCACATTTCCACTTCAGTAGCTCCCGCCAATATGAATACCACCGAACACCCATCGGTACCTCAGTTCAATCTAAGGAGTAGGCAGATCAATACCTTAGAGAGAACTCATGACGAGACCTGGGGAGTAGACAGATTGTGGCCCCGTCTTTGAAATGGGAGCCGAAACGTCGAACGCAAATTCAACATAAGACAGACATCCAAATCGTGAACCAATTCACCAGACAACCGTCTCCAGGATCAATACGTTAGTCAATAGAACCGGGAGAATAAATGAAACACATGTACAGAGACGAAGAGGGAATATATTATTATTATTATTACTTATGAATAAAGGCTGAGGACAAAGTCCTTGAATGGGCTTTGGNATTCTGACTGAAACGATTATTTCTGATTTTTGTTATGTTTTTCTATTCAAGCATTATTCATCACATGTTATGTTAAACGTATATGGTGTTCTACCTTAAATCATGTTTTTATTTTATTATAAGGTTAAGGTTTGCTTTTATGTTTATATAAGAATTTATTAATTTATGTTGACTTTTTCTAATTCAATAAAAGTACCTCATATTTGTTTTTGTTTTCATTAATACGACAGTAGTTCGATAGAATATCATTTTTAAGTTCATACATCTGTGAGATACCGCGCGACCCCCTATGATCCACAACAACACGCGACCTACGCAGGGTTAATATATCTAAAATCTGAAATATTATTGATATTGTGCTATTTTTTTTCAATTCAGAAACCCAGGGATAATTTCAATAGAAAGAAAGAGGTAATGAACATTACAATAATCTGGCTACCTGTTCCTAATGGTACACAAACAAGGTCATTCATTCCAATCGGTAGCCGGTCGAGTAAGAGAGTTGTCGTTCAAAAGGTGATGACAGCTGGTTAATGGAAGAACAGATTTTGAACAGTTTTTTAGACAGATTTTCATTGAGGGAATCGAAGCCACGTCCACCAATCATGTTATAAAAGACAAATTTGGAGTGCTCAAGTTGAAAACAACTCGTGCACTTCGACCGTTACCTCATCGCCTATGATAACTTCTACCGCAGTAGTAGACGAAACGAAAGGTAAAATACCGGCAGATCACGGCCAATATTGTTTTTACTTTTATCAACAGAAACTTTTTTTACGTTTATCTCTCTTTTGCTTTTTTTAGACTTGGATTGATGATCAACACTCACTCGACTAAGAAATTGAAGATCATTTTCGAAATATATTCTTATCGAAAAAAAAAACAATGAGAGAACAGCCAAGTTTATATAGAAATATAAAAAAATTTAATTCATTGCATGGTTTCAAATGAGCAATAGTCTTTAAAATAATACAAAGGAAATATTTTTATGCTACAAAATGGTTTTTGAGGATGCTGATTGAATCTTCTCAGGCCCATTTGCCTACCTGTACATAGTGCCTTTCTTCATTATCAAAAATCTCCTCGGATCCCATGAACTAGACTACTAAAACTACTGCTGAAGCGTTCTCCGTACGCCGGTGGAGACGCATAGTGTGACACCAGCCTTATAGTATAGTACGTTGTAAAATTCCTATCAGACCTGTTTTGCAGGGCTCATTAGTTATGAACTGAAAACGTTTGAAACTGTGGGTTCTATGTTTCCTATTTCATTGTATAGTCGTTTCAAAAGATATCACTTCATAAATCATCATCTGCTGTTCTGCAGCGATTCAAATCCATTTCTCATCTGAGGGATTTTATCGTAGTGCATATATGCATGCTATTGGGAATCTGCTTCTGAAGAACATTGAGATGGAAATACTCGAATGAGACGAAGCTGATTTTTCAAATTTTATTTGCATGATCGTTGTTATGTTACATATCTCAACAAAAATAGTTAGGCTTGTTTGATAACAAATAAAACATTTTTACAAATTTAACTCTAGTTAAAGCATATGGTACATCGCAGAAGGAACAATCACTCTATCTTCTCCCTGAACTTCGGTATTATGAGAGACTATTTGTGACTGCCACTTTCAAAGACTATATACATAGTTGCGACTAAGATTGTGTAATTCTTCATTTTAGCCTAGGTACGTAAAGATCCAGATTGCACATGATAAATCACTTTTCTGTTATATATCGTAACTATTAAAAACATCAATTCTGATTGAAAATGACTAAAAACAAATATAAACAATATTGCACAAATCTGAGAGTCAGTTCGTTTCTGGTTAGGTTCTTTCACACAAACCTCACAGCTTACTAGCAATTTGTCGGATCGATTAGGAGAGGCTCACTGCATTTAGTTCACTGAAACCTTTTTATACTGTGGAATTTCAAATCTCTTTCATGAACAGAGTTGGTCTCATGATGGAGGCACGAACCACATTTCTGTTCTCTGAATGCCAAACCAGCGTCTGAAGTTGTGACAAATATCCACATTAATACGGCCTCCACACCACAGCGTCACTATTTTGTCCAGGTCCCCTTTGACCTCCGTTGGAACTCAACACCCTGTGTCCATCATCCTGCCTCACTGCTGCGGCTGCGCATGAGCCACTGTTGCTCAGCAAAAGATCTGTACTGCCATTCACCATCTGCCGCTGATTGCTTGTGGACAGATGATCCATCACACTCTGTATGTCATTGTGCTGCGTATGGGTAGTGTGGGTGTGAAGGGAGTGGAAGTTGTGGGACTGATTAGCAGCGGAATAGAGCTGTGAGTACAGTAGACCGGGAAGAACAGGATATATAGAATTGTTACAATTACCAGCGGTGTAAGATCCCTGGGACATATTTTGGTGCAGGGAGAAGTTCGCGTTGTTCACGTGGTTCACCCCCAGACTGGTCTGCGGGTTCAATAGATCATCTTGGACGGGACTTTCTGCAGCGCTGGAGTTGTCAGAGAGTGATCTTGGTCCTGGTAGGGTGAAATCGGTATGATTTGTGGAGTATCGTGGCACTAGGAGAGATGAAGGATGTGTGCTAGAGTGAGAATGGTTGGTGTGGTTTTGTGAGGAAACTAAGCCCAAATGCTGGTCCAGATCTGTAGTCGCAGCTTCCGGGATCACTGAAACAAAAAATAGTAATGAAACAGAAATACAATGGAAAACTCGAAATGACTGTAGTTATGCGTATAAAACTGGTTAGATTATCCAATATTCTGCTGCATTTTCAAAAATGATTACGGTTAAACTGGAGCCTATGGCGTAGAATATATATATATAAAAGAAGCACTTGTCTCAAACACCAAAACTGCAACACTATACTTGGAGCGCGTTTCACCAATCAACTTGGCGTCTTCAAACAATGAAGTGAACAGTTTACTCACACGCGTTTCACCAACCAAGTTTGCGTCTTCATTTCAGAACTTCATAGAGTATTTCAGTTCTGGTGCTTGGAAAAAGTACTTGTTTTTGAATCAAAAATGATGATGAGCTTCATTGTAAGCAATATCATACCATTTTTCATAATTTTCACTCCTATTTTCTGAAATTTGATATTATAATTAAGTCTTCTTACACTAGAGAAAAAACGAAAATACTGCAACAGATGGAGTACAATACAAAAATTGTAGCTATATCTGTTCAAAACACCCTTTGAGAGAGTCTCAGTGGACAAAGTGGGACCTTTTTCTATAACAAACACCAAATGGTGATGAACTATTTCTCTAAACAGCTATACATTGATTGTTTCTTCATCGAACTGACACAGTAGCGGAGGCCCTTCGTCTTCAGACATGATGGTTGAATGACAAAACAAGAATTATCATTGTTTGTTTCGGAAATACTGGTACGAATTGGCTTCAATATTCATTCTGATATATAGAAGCATTGTCCATAAATAGGTTTTGTCGAACCAACGCTTAAATCAGCAAAAAATGGAAGTACTGTCAGACCAAGTATCGAGTGTGTCATTCGGTAACACCACCATACAAAGTTCATCAAATTGATGTAGAAACAATTATACAGAAAAGCCGCAAACGCATGATCTGAACCAGGAGGTCCTCTGTGGTTATACTAACCCCATAAAAATAAAAAAGTTTGTTCCTACGTGCAATTTATAACCCTACGCGGAATCTATGAGTTTTGTAGGTAACACATTTATTCTACACCAATATTGTATGTATCTTTTGTGATTTATAATATGTATATTTATTATATTTTTATTCTAGGTAAGACTTGGTGACCAAAATAACCGTGACTTGGGTTGTAACACCTAATAACTTCAATGAGCAAACCGATCACCTGAGAAGACTAGCAAGAGGATTGGACCAATTTGATCTAACAAGCTACATATTGACCAAAATGATTCATCATTTGCAAACACATAGAGTTTGAATATTACTGGAGTCTTTTCACAACACCAAACCATTATTTTAACAACTCTACACGTGTTTAGATCACCAAGTGATCATCTTCAAGAGGAAGATTAAACTAAATATACTTACAATGTTATCCTTATTTATATCATATCTTCTAGATATCTGCGTCTTAAGTGTCTTAAATTAATTTCACAATATTGCCTTATCTACTAGTCTTAAATTGATTTTACAATGTGTCCTTATGTAATAGTCAGGTAAATGTAATATTTGAAATATTATTTCAACAAGCCATATAATATACTATTAGGTATTGGTCCACCATTGTTATTCATAATATTATTATGTTTACTCATTTCTACATTCACATAGGCATTTATATGCTTGTTGTTAACTTGTCTAACTAATCTCAATGCACTGAAGTCTATGGAATGGTCTTGTTGCAAAATATGATGGGCGACTGCTGATTTTTTTGGTCTTCCATATTTCATGTGTGCTGAGTGTTCCTTATAAAATAAGATATAAGGAACACACCACACCTAAAATATGGAAGACCAGAAAAATCAGCAGTCACCCATCATATTTTGCAATAAAACTATTTCATAAACTTTAGTTCATCAAGATCAGGCAATATTGTGTAATTAATTCAAGATACTTAAGGCGCAGGTACCTAAAACAGGTACCATCTCGAAGATGGTCACTTGGTGATCGAAACACGTATCGAGGTGTTGAAATGACGATTTGGTGTTGGGAAAAAACTCCAGTAATATTCATTTCAACACCAAAGGTTCCCAACAGTGCAACACAAGTACGTGGAATTTGGCTATACAAGGTCTTATTTCATTTCTCTCTGTTCTGTTTCATAACCGGGGTATACAAAGAGCTTCCATGCACTCCAATTTACTAGACAAAGTTGATTATGGAAAATAGAAAGTACTATTTACTGACGCTAATATGTTTTTACTTACAAGAACTAACTGATGAGCTGGTGGTGAAGGCATCTTGTGTGGACGATTGATCAGGCGCGCTTCCTGAAAATCCCAGAGCTGGAGCATTGAACTGGGAAGTCGGCGCTGCGCAAGAACCCAACGCGCTCGATGTGAAGTATGGGGAGTACGCACCCGCAGTACTGTAACCCCAGTGTGAATTTGTACTACTCAGACCAAATTGAGGCATATCTGTAANCCACTCACTTTGGACCTAACCTAACCTATCATTATGCATTATGTTTCAGTAATCATGAAAAATTATCATACCATTGACATTTTCATAAAAATTATGTTAGAATCTATCTAGGGATTTTTGCTGACACAAAATATTTCCCAATTTCAGTGTCAAGTTTAGTTTTCGTTTAGAAAACTAGTTTTAATTTAACATATGTTAATGTTAACTGCTTCCATTTTTTTTGTTCAAGTGAAATAATAAAAATGAAAAATTAAAGTACTACATAAGAAGATAATTGGAAGTGAACGGTTCATTAGATTCAGGCTACGGCTACTGTGGTCAATTGTTAAGCCAATAATCGAAAAGGTCATGATTTCATTAATGATTGTCAGAAGCTGATATCGAACGATGTGTGCCTCACTACATAGGTGAATTCCCAAATTTCCACTATACAGCCAACAGTGTCGAATATTTTTTTTCAGCGGCTCATTGAATGAAACTCAACGTCTGAAATACTTGGTGATCTGATAAAATATATGTCAACATATTCAACGCAAAACCCAAAAGGTATAAGTGAAAAAAAATCGGGCATATATAGACTATATGTATAGAATGTAGTGACTGTTCAGCAGCTTATACAGGACAGACAGGCAGAAATTTCAACATAAATACCATAAGCCTATATGAAAAATCAGCTATATATGGATATCTACAAGAAATGAACCACACAATGGATGAAGAAAACATTAAAATTCTTCATACGTGTAATGAAGGAAGGAATCAAACTAGAGAAAAAACAAAAAAAAAGAGAAAAAAAGGAAAAAGAGAGAAAAGAGGGAGAGAAAACATGTTGAATGTTTATACTGAAAATTTTTCAGAAGTACAAAATCTATGAAATCAATGACTTTCTGGTTGAGCAGCGATGAGATATTTTTTGTTACAGCACTTACATAAGAAAACTTCACCAACTTTATATTTTTGTGGAATATTATTATTCAAACTATATATGTTATAACTGAAGGATCGTCGATATAAAGTGGTTCGATGGGACGGAGGAGAAAGTAACCATTTAAACCTCAAATTTAAAGTATATACGAAATCTTATTTTGTTATATAAATATGATGGACATTTGTTATTTAATATTTTATGTTTCACTGCTTGATTTTCCCTTTGAAGTTTCTGTAAACTGTAAACTATATTTAAAAAAGCTTTCAATTAAATTTATAGCAAGTTCAGAAAACCCGATGAAGTTCAAAATTGTAAATAAAATTGGATAACTAATGTTATCAAAAGCCTTGGAGAAGTCTATATGTATTAAAGCAGTCGTGTTATCTTTGTCAGCAGCTTCGAAAATATCATCAGTTATTTTCAAAAGGGCAGTTGAACAGCTGTATTCTTTACGAAATCCTGACTGCTACCTACCTTTGAACGAGTAGGTAGCAGTATTAAGGGGCGCAGATCGTTAGGAGTATTTGGAATTGATATTTTAGGAATAGCGAGTATTTCAGAAATCTTCCACATTTCAGGAGATATTTTATTTTGCAAACATGATTCTATTATGTAAGTGAGATATGGTAGTATTATAGGACAGCAAAGAAGTAGCATATCTATATTAATTTCATCTCAACCTATGGCTCTTGTTTTTATTTCTGAAATACATTTCAAAACAATATTTTCTGTTATCGGCTTAAAGCGAAAATTGTCAATAGATATATTTTTTTTCGCATTACTGTTATAATAATTCAATAACTCATTAGTAGGTATAAAATGTTGGTCAGAATTACTCAAAAAATATTTACTGATTTTAATAGGATCATTAAGTCTTTCTGGCAAGTTATTTTTTTACGAGAAATCTTTAAGTAAAAGTTAAATAGTTATTGTTTTAGTATTGGTATTGATAATTAAGGTAACATTTGTTATCACAGGTACGTGAGCACATTGACTGTATCGTGCATTCAAGAACTTTTTTGTCAAAATGCATCAGTTTACTTAAGAAATCGTAGACATTGTGGTGCGGCTATTTACTGCAAGGAAAGTATTGAAGGTCACTCGAGAATATACATTTGTGAACAATTTTGAGTGTGCTGGTGCTGAATTTCATCTGGACAATTCTATATACCTTGTAGTATGTATACAGGGTGTTATTTAAGTATGTACCATAAATTCAACAGACGATTCTTTAGATAATTTTAAGTCGAAATGTTCATATAAACATGGGTCCGCAAATCCTTCGTTCTTAAGATACAGGGTGTTAAAATAAAAATTAAAAAAAAGTTATTCGTAAATATCTTAAACATCCATTACCTTATTTTGTTGTAATTTGGCAATGGTATTTATAACATTGACGAGCTAATTTAGCTCGAACGTGATTCAATTTATTAAGTCGAGTGGCATCTCGAGCGGGATTTGAACGAATATTTTTGACTTAAAAATGTACGCCACTGACT